ACCCTTTAATTTTTTCCTATATGGGAGAAATGCTATATAACTTGATATGCTTTTCTTGTATTTGGCTACTTTATTGTCATTCCTGAGAAGTACTGTGTTGGATGCATCTGACAATCTCCACACTAAATTCTACTTTGAATTAAAAGGCCCACTTGAAATCAGATCTCTAACTTTTCATGGGCATTTCGTATCAGCTCAATCTAAAATGCCTAAACATGTAGTTGTCACTATTAGTATGAATTTTATTTTGTATATAAATATGTTAGCTGTAAACATTAGATCCTGTGATAATAGGCCATTTTACCTCTTACTTGTAGAAGCTCAACTGGTGTTCCAGTTTGGAGACAAAGGCAATGAGTGTTTATGAGTGTAGTAGTGTAGTACTTTGAATCGGAGGTACTTTTGTTTGTTCATAACTCTGTAAATTAATATTAGTTAGAGAATTTCCGTGTTTCAAGTCTATGAAATGGGAATCGCGTATTTATTAGGATATTAAAAATTTTATGCTGTTCTGTTTTTAATAAACTCAATTTTTATTTTAGCTATCTTCCTTGGATCATATCGTATGCCATATGAAGATATAAAAAACAGTATTTTGGAGGTCAATGAAGACTTATTGACTGAAGCCTTAATTCAGGTAACTTGCATATTTTCCTTTTATAATTCATTTTCACAGGTATTCCTACGTTGCTGTCTTCTAGAATGGAGTTGTAAGGAAATATTCTTCTATGTTTGGATTATACAATCAGGAGTATCTAGCTGTGTTGATAGTCAGAGGACTTAACATAGAAGATCTAGGTTCTGTTTCTATTTTTTCCATTTATTAAACATGTGAGTGTGTGTATTTAAGTTTATGCATATGTAGATATACCATTCCCTATATTCACTGTACAGAAAATTGCATGTATGTCATCATCATAGTGACTATGTTAATTAGATATCGTTATTATCATTTTATGGATGTAAAAGAGAAGAGGCCAAGAGGTTAAATAGCTTGCTTAGGATCAGTGGGTAAATGGTAAAGTTATCCTTTGTTCGGCACTGAACATATGCTGGGCATTGTGCCAAGCATTTAATATATTTCATTTCATTGACTCCTACAGCAATGTTATGAGATCAGTACTAACATCCTCATTTTCCAAATAAGGAAACTGAGGCTTAGAGAGATCGCCACATGTCGCATAGCTGGTAAGGGGCAAATTAGCAGAGCTGGGCTTCAGAACAATGTCTGTCTGTCATGACTCTAAAACCATTGCTCTTTCTAGTCTATTATTCTGCCTCCTGTGGGCAGACAGGTTTGGCTTGCTTTATCTCTGCATCGTCATCTGAGATCACAGGGCCACTGTGATGATTTCATCCAAAAAGTGCTTTATTCTAGAAATCTAACATATTATTAGAATTCTTGGTATGTCTGCCCCTATCTGTTTTAATTTCTAGGAAGAAACACTGCAGAGATTTGCTGTAGAAAGGCAGTCATTGTAGTTTTTTGTTTGTTGTTGAGCCATGCCGTTTGCTTTGATTTTAAGAAGACTGGTAGTTTATGCTGTCATAATTGTGCCATTTCTTCCTCAGACTGTCTCTAAATCTCAGAGAACCAGTGTTTGTCATTTGAGCAGGTTGTGTCTGTATGGAATTTCTGTTAACCTAAAAGTAAAAGACCTTTCAAAGTGAGAAGCAAACAAGTATTTATTTGAGATCACTAAGAATAGCTATTCTGGAAACACTGATTCAGGCAGAAGCTCAACTGGTGTTCCAGTTTGGAGACAAAGGCAATGAGTGTTTATGAGAAAACGGAAGGGGAATAATTGCATTAGTAGAGGAAGGCATTTCTATTGGTACAGATAACAAACAAACATAGTGGTGTTAATTCTAAACAGTGTTTTTTTGTTGTTTTTGTTTTGGCTATTTAGTTAATCCAGTAGTCATCAGTCCAGTAGTCATAATAATTGCTTTCTTGTTATCTTTGCAAACAGGTCTTTTTCAAGGCACAAGGTTGCTTAGGCCAATCCAAAGGTTATTTTGCCCTGTTTTAACATCCTGAAAATTTAAGGCATGAGATGTACAAGCCAGTTTCTCTGACATGGCAGCTCTGGTTCTGTTTTAAAGTGGCTCTGTTTATGTTATTGTTTACCGTTCCTTCATTTCATAGTGGAGGCTTGCATTACAGTTTACCTTATGTATATGTTTTAAATATGTTCTCTTTCTATAGGACTAAGGTTTAGTCAGTTGATATAAGCTCTTCATTATCATAACACACTCAGTATATTATTCTCAGTAAAAATACCCTTGTGGTAAGATTTTTGGAAAACTGTTTTTAGAAAAATGTTTTTCTCTGTGCAACTAGCAGGTCCATAGTTCTGTGAGTGGAAATGCAGAGCTGAGCACATGTCTCCTGTCCTCCTTAGTCCCACGATTCTCTGTGCACTGGTCAGAATGAGGACAGCATTAAGCCAAAATGTGACTTAGTTCTCTCTTTTTTTCAATTGGAAGTTTAAATTTAAATTATAAAAAATCACACAAATATCTGACTCCTACTTAATAATTAAAGCTTTCTAGTTTTTTTTCTGTATAACCCAAGTATAGTAAAATAGAACCATATTTTGAAGTAATCAATGTAGTCATTTATTCTACCCATTAAAACTATGTAGTTTTCCCTTCATATGCCTTGGTAAATAAATAATGTAAATATGCGGAATGCTACTGTGGTATTTATTTCCTGGCAACACTAAAAACGTTAAGTCATGCTTTCACCTCTTTAGGGAATGTAAGAAGAGAAAGATTGTCACTATAAGTGTCCCTTTACTATGCAACAAGTTTTTGACATGTGTCTATAGAAATATATTACCTGGAATTTTTGTAGCATAAATAATATAAAGTTGTTTCTCTCTTTAAATTGGGTAATCCTGGTCCAGTTGGGAGGAATGAATTGCTTATCCTTTAGAGATGGTAGTAAATTATGTCTAAATTGTTGAATTTGTGGGCTTAATCTTATCCATCATGACAAAACAACTGCTTAAAAAATCACATTATTATTTGATTGTGCTCTGGGAAGGTGAGTGAAGGAGAATCACAGAGTGCTGATCCTGCCAGGCTCCTTTTGTGCATGTAACACCCTGTGCTTCCATGCATTTCCTGTTTGCTGTATGTGGCTTCCTCTGAGCCTGTCTTGTCTCTTCCTCTTTTCTAGATCCCCCTTCCCTTTTCTCAGCTTCTATCTCTTACTGGTTTTCACATATTTGTATGTTTTACCCCTTGCATCCTTTGCCCCACCAATTTT